TTCTGGCTAAAATTCTGAGGCAAGGCTCAGACTATAAGAGAAAGTTTATTTAGAAAGCCACAGAGCTAGAAGAAGTGAGTGGTCGAAGACATGGGCTCAGGAAACAAGCCACAGAGGCAAAAGAAGGGACCCTTAGAGCTCAGGAGGGTGGGGAGGAAGAGGAGGAGGTTGAGAAAGGTGAGGGTATGCTCTTGAGAGAGAGAGAGAGAGCACACTGGGTCCTTCGACCTGAGAGTGTTTATCTGGAGCTCTCAGAATATCCAGCAGCTTCCCAGGTGTGTCCTTTCAGGATGGGGAGGTCTTGTTTTCCCAGTTTTGCCCATTGCTAGGCACCGGGGGCTTCCACCCTGGTGACCTTCTGCACCTGGCCCATCGTCCTTGCTCTGCTCATGTCTGTCTAACGGCCTACCACAGAGCCTCAGCTTGGATCACTCAAGGAGCCTTCCTGACCATGCACCCAAAGGTGCTCAGTCCTTTCCCAGCATCGGGAAAGTATAGAAACGAGAGGGTCCCGCGGGTAAGTGTAAATACAGTGGAGCTCCCTGAAGAGGCTGGATGTGGAATCTCTCTGAGGCTAGGGCACAGGAATAATTAGTGCTTACTACATGGTAGAACTCATTACATGCACATAACAGCCCTGGGAGGTGAGTACCCTTGTCATCTCCATTGCAGATGAAGCCAAGGGGACAATGAGTTTAGTAACTTCCCCTGCTTGGCATCCGTTACCCAGCTGGAAAGAGACAGGCTGGGATTTGGCTCCCGTCGGGCTGGCTCCACTGTCTCCCTAACCCCTTTCGGGTGGCTCCTTTCGATCCCTGGTATTTAATTAAGGCATGTGTTTTCCCAGCGTTACATTTTGTCTTGCAATTCTTGTTTCAGCCTAATTTGTCTTGCACGATTGTCTCAGCAAACTCAAGCTAATAGTCCAAGGGATCTTTCCTTAAAGAAACTAAAGCAACAACAAGAACTGGCCTCCTGCAACGCCAATGCTGTCTGTCCTGGGGTTGTCACAGGAGTGTGCCGAGGATGAAACGAGATAGGAGTTTAGATGGCCAAGACCATCAAAATTCTGCAACGTATTATTTATCTGCATTCTATCCGGATCCTTATTTTTATTTTTTCAAAGTTTTGTTTTTTTAAAATATATTTTATTGATTTTTTACAGAGAGGAAGGGAGAGGGATAGAGAGTTAGAAATATCGATGAGAGAGAAACATCAATCAGCTGCCTCTTGCACACCCCTCACTGGAGATGTGCCCGCAACCAAGGTACATGCCTTTGGCCAGAATCGAACCTGGGACCTTTCAGTCTGCAGGCCGACGCTCTATCCACTGAGCCAAACCGGTTTGGCAGGATCCTTATTTTTAAACGAGCAATTCCTTAACAAGTTAATATAGGTTTCTTTCATTTTCTCATTTTCCCTAGAGGTTATGGCCAAACTCCCCATCTGCTACTGTGGGTCTTAGGATGGCCTAGATGCTTGACATTTGATTTCTCCTTTATCTTCCCAGCTTCTTGGCAGCGTTTGGTGTGGTGGCAGCTCCTTCTCCTCACTTCCTGTACATGTTGATCACTGCCGCTGCACCCCTGGACATTTTACCATGGCGGTCAGCCTATAAAGTCAACCAGTGCCACCTCTGTTTGAACCTGGGTTAAATGAATCCTCAGACTTTCACATCAGTCTGTTGCTAGGGAGGTTATTGATGTCACACTGTCAGTATTATGATTATCATAATATCCAACAGGCAAAAAGGGGTTGGTTGCTAGTGGGAACCCTTGGGTGCAACTCACCCACCTTCAGTAACCAACCCAACTGCACAGACTTTAGACAACCATGTAAAGGGGTAAGTGGATTCATCATCCAGTTGGATCCCATTTGAATATTTCTCTTCCATCTGTGGGTTCCCTCTAGGCAATTGTCTAGTGTCACTTGAAATTGATGAGGGCTCTTTTGAAGGTTATTTTTGGGAAGGTGGCGAAACAACAGACAGCTGTTCTCTGGAGGAAATGTCACAGGATCTGCCTAGGCTAGCTTCCAGTAAAAAAAATAAAAATAAATTAAAAATGGAAGCGCGTTGTCCTTTTCCTTCCTAACATTAGGATGTTTGCTAGTGACCTAAACGTGTTAATTCAGCTTCTCAAACAGACAGAAAAGAGGGGAACACCTTTATGAAACACCTGTGTGACCCTGGTCCGAGTATAGCTTTAAAAGTGGAGACCTGTTAAGCCAGGAGTTCTCAAACAACCTTGGTATGCATGACCATTCACAGCTTTTCCTAGCTTGCATACAATGTTCTTCCTAATTGGACATTGACTGATCACCAATAAAGGCAAAGTCATTACTTAAAATTGGTCCAGATCCTCCAAAGCTGGGTAATTGTCTTGAAGTCATTTTCACTGTGATATTAAAAAGCCTGGAAACATGATAGAAACGAGGTACAATAAATAAACCCCTACATTAAAAATCTCTGTTAAAAGGTGTGACAAATGGGTCTGTCTGTTGGGATTTTGTTAAGTGGGTGGAGGGGCCAGTTTGGGGGGATAGAGGGATCAACTGGATAACACTGGTCGGACGTGAGGCTGTGCAGGTTAGGGGAGCCATATTGAGACTTGCTTAAATCTATATAAATCAATTCATGTGCCAGCGAATGAACAGCTGACTTTTTCAAATGCCAATTCAGCAATTACAGAGTCTGCTGGCGGTTAATTAAAAACGACCCTCTTGTTACATTCAGAGTTAAATTACAAGTGTGGAAACTACTACTGTTTGCAATATCTGAATGCTCTGTACTCTCATCAAAAGGCGAGCAGGGATAAATAACTTCTATTTAACTCACTAAAACATCGCTCTCAGCTCTTTCATATTTAATTAACTTCTTATCTTCTCAGAACTTGAGTCTTTCTCAGTTCCTACGCAGTAATAGGAAGATGTGTTCATTCGTTCATTTTGGGCAGAAGATTTTCCTCACATTAGTTGAGTAGAAAAGTTAGAAAGAATTGAACCCTAACATGGGGGAAAGTGACACCCACCCAAAGTGTGGCATCGAGGCAAACAAATCTGGAATAGATTTGTGGCAGAAACAGCAGAAAATGGTGATATTTTTTTTCCTTTATTGCTTTGCACCTCCAAGATTGGGGAGCTCAGTTTGGACACACTTGAGCGGACTAGTGACATTTTAGTTCTTCCTTGGAAGACTGTCTTAATGAACTTAATGTTTTACTCTTTCAGAGATCTCACTATCAGAAAAGAGACCAAACTTCCATCACCATGGTGGACGTGAAATGTCTGAGTGACTATGAATTACAGAATGAACTTAATAAGCTTGGATTTTCACCTGGCCCAATTCTATGTATGTATGCAGCAAATATTAGAGACTAGTCATCTATGATTCATAGATTACCTCTAAGATTTAAATTTATTTATAGTGGAAGAAACATATGCAATAAAAATCATTAAACTAGAAATAGGAAAATTTTTAAAAAGCAGAAAAACCCTAAAGAAGGGAAGAGGTGATAAATACACTCAGATACTTCATACAGATTAGTAAGTGTGGTGTCAGACAGAAAAATTATCTCTTTCCCCCAGTTGCTCTTGATTATATCACCCTGGGTTCTTTTTCATTCCTAGTATGTGCACTGTGCTAACTATGCATGTATGTATGGTCCATAGTCCCCATAGATAGAGTTACAACTTTGTCAGACTTCTCAGATGTAGCCAATGCCTGACTCTATGGCTAACTCATAGAGGCCTCACCTGAAGTGTTTGTGGAAGGGACAGAGTGAGTTGAGTAGCTGTGGTGTCCACCTCATTGTAAAAAACACAGTTAATAATGTAAGTATAAGAGTAAGAAGCTGCCCTAACCGGTTTGGCTCAGTGGATAGAGCGTCAGCCTGCAGACTCAAGGGTCCCAGGTTCGATTCTGGTCAAGGGCATGTACCTTGGCTGTGGGCACATCCCCAGTAGGGGGCGTGCAGGAGGCAGCTGATCAATGTTTCTCTCTCATCAGTGTTTCTAACTCTCTATCCCTCTCCCTTCCTCTCTGTAAAAAATCAATAAAATATATTTTTAAAAAAAGAGTAAGAAGCTGAGCCTGGCTGGCATGGCTCAGGGGTTGAGCCTCAACATAGGAACCAGGAGGTCATGGTTCTATTCCCGGTCAGGGCACACGCCTGGGTTGCAGGCTCAATCCCCAGTGTGGGGTGTGCAGGAGGCAGCCGATCAATGATTCTCATCATTGATGTTTCCATTTCTCTCTCCCTCTTCCTTCCTCTCTGAAATCAATAAAAACATATTAAATAAAAAGAATAAGGATCTGAGTTGTGAAATACCTTGAACCCAGTAAGATCCCAAATACAAGCAGAACAACTTAATCTACTCTCCACATTCTTCCTCAGCTTCCACCAGAAAACTGTATGAAAACAAGTTAATGCAATTGTTGGTCTCATCTCCCTGTGCACTTATGATGAATGGACCGGGAAAGCAGCACAGAACTCAAGACTATGAAGACAGGAGAGGTACCTTTAGAGGCTATTCTGCTCGATAGCAACTTTGCACTTATTATTTTTAATACATTTTTGTTGATTTCAGAGAGGAAGGGAGAGGGAGAAAAAGATAGAAACATCAATCATGAGAGAGAATCATTGGCTGCCTCCTGCACACTCCCCACTGAGGATCAAGCCCACAACCTGGGCATGTGCCCTTGGCTGGAATCGAGCCTGGGACCATTTGGTCCGCAGGCCAACAACTCTATCCACTGAGCCAAGGCCAAACCGGCGAGGGCAACTTTGCACTTATTAACACCTTGTCCAGCATGACTTACGCAACTTTTAATGGCATGAATGAAATAGCCACATGGCCTGTTTGCACACAAAGCCTGGACATAGGCCCCTGGGCTGCAAAGGAAATGCTTAACTCCATGTACTAGTATATATTCACGCCAGTGACTCAGTTGAGTGGCAAACCAGAAGTTCCTACAGATAATTTCCAGGTCTCCTTTGAGGTCTCAGCCTCTCTTTGCCTCAGTCAATAAATCTGATAGTTATTTTCTTTGGATTAAATGATTTCACATACATTAAGAAAGATGAACCAGACTCTATTCCTGGTCAGGGCACATGCCTGGGTTCTTCCAGTCATGCTAGAGCTGGAAGAAAATGGGTCCTTCGGTTTAAACTTTGCATTGCTTTACGCTGTGTCCACCTGATGCTAGCTCTCCGTGGGCAATCAAGCCAGAGGTGGGAGTTCTGCCTCAGTCCTAGCTTTGTCATGCAGCGCAGGATGCCACTGGCCAGTGGTGGGTACAAGTCAAAAACCTGCTTCTTAGAAACCGGCCTGGATCAGATATTTGAACTTGCTCATTGGAGGGGCCTCAAAGACCCTGGTGCCATTAGAATGGAGGGGTTGACATGGAACTAAGGGGGTCCCGTGGAGATTCAGCCTTGAGCACTTCACAGAAGTACCTGGTCCTGGGGTAGGAGGGAGGGGCCGCAGTTTTAGGGCATCCAGACAATGGGTGGATTCCATTCTTCCCATTTTCATTCATTGTTTTGGCACCAGGTGGGCACAGCTTTCTGATCTGCCCTTCTTTCAACCTTCCCAATTATTCTGACTTGGGAGCTCATTTAAAATCCCCTCCATGAAAAGCTCGCTGATATTCAAGAGCAGTGATTGCTCCAAGCTTATCAGCTTCCTCACAGCCCGAGGCGAGGGCTGATCTACCTCCACCTTTCTGCCCTGGGGTTCCCCTGCCCTGGAAGCCTGAGCACAGTCTGGCCTTCCCTTCTCTGGACACAGAAGAAGACATTCTCCTGCCCTATGGGGACATTCAGAGACACACCAGGCTGACCGCTGGCTCCAAGGGGCAATGACTGGACCGCAAGCAACCGCCCAGTAGAGCACCCTGCTCGGGCTCAGCATGCATTGCTCTCGGAGGCCCCCCAACACCACAGCTTTTCTGACAGGGCCCCCCCAGTCCCCCAGAGGAAGGCCTGGCTGAGTTCCACAAGGGCCACAAGGGCCTCAGAAGGACAGAGCGAATCCTCTTCCCCTCCCAGGTATCTTCTGCCCCGTGAAGAACAGAATTCACCACTCCGCTGCGTGGTGCTGATTTTCGTGGCTAGCTCCTGTGTCCTCATGGCCTATTTTCCTTGTGTTTCCCATGATCCAGAGCTGAGGGGCATTATCGTTTTGAAAGGAAATATCATACTCTCATCAGAAAAAAAGAAGGGACCCCAAAAAGTATGTACCATTTGAATGCATGGATACTTGTACGCATAGTAAATATAAGCAATAGCACGTTTCACGTGTAAGGAAATAGCAAGTCACTATGTTCGTTGCGGTGGGGAAATCTAGTTTCAAGAAGCTTGTTTGAATGCAGGTTTCTGTTTTGTGAAACGATTACCAGGTTCTAGCACGAGACCCAGAGTAACAGCCCCTCTGAATAGCAGCCACCCCGTTTTCCTCCCCAGTTGCCGCACCCTCTCTCTGAGTTCACCACCTGTGTCTACATTCATAGAGCATCCAGCACAGTCCCAGACCCACAGGGGTTCCTGTCCCCTTCTCTTGCCCAGATGCTGAGATCTGGCTCCTACCCTCGCCACCGTATTGGAGCTCTTGGCCAAATGTGTGAGATGAACAGGTTTTGGGGTGCCCTTCCATCGGCCAGCTGTGTGGCGCTGGGGAGGTCGCTGAATGGACCTGAACCTCCTCTCACCGTTTAGTTAGCAGAGCCTACCCCCAAGGGTGAGTGTGAGGGAAAGGCAGGTGAAGCTCTTAGCATAGAACATGGCACATAATGCTTTCACTCAATCCCTAAACTTCAAGATAGCAACGCTAGTGACTTGTGCTGGGTCCCTCTTTATTTAGAGATACCTGCCTCCTTCCATGTTGGCAACTCTGCTCTCTCTAGGTTCTGGCCTCTGCCCCCTGCCGGTGGCCATTCTCACTCTGGCGTCTGGGCCCTGACTGGATGTTGCTCCTGGGGTCTCTGTCTTCAGCCCCTTCTCTTCCTGCTCCGTGTCGCTCCCCGGGGCCGTCTCATTCACTGACCACCTCTGTGTCATGACTCCACATATACCCCTCCACACAGGACCTCGCTCCTGAGCCACAGGCCTGCCTCCTGGAAAGCTCCTCCCCTCCTTCCTGCACTCACCCAGCAGATAGTTATTTATTTACTTATTTTCACCCTCACCCAGGGCATGATTTTATTGGTTTTAGAGAGAGAGGAAGGGAGAAGGGGGGAAGGGAGAAGGTGGGTGGGAAGAGAGAGAGAGAAACATTGATGGGTTGCCCCTGGAAGGTGCCCCAACTGGGGATTGAACCCACAACCTGGGCATGTGCCCTGACCAGGAATCGAACCCTTGACCCTTTGGTGCACAGGACAATGCTCCAACCAACTGAGCCACACAAACGCTCACTTGTAATTAAGGACATTTCCTGGGGTTATAGATTGTTTATACTTCTCCTGTGGTTACCCCAGCACCTCACTGCAGCACTACCTGCATTTGCGGCCTGGCTTCCGTTTATCTTGATGGTTCCACCACCTTCCCACCCTCCAGGCTTGAAATCACATCACTACCTTGGAAGGCCCACTCCTCCTAGCTCCTCACATACAAACAGTTGCCACGTCCTATGGATTTGAATTACAATTTTCAAAAATCAACCCCTCCTTTCTCTTCCCCCTGCTGCTTTCCCAGCTTGCACCCGTATTATTTTGGGGTTTGTTTGTTTTTTAACCCACACACTAGCAATACCCTCCTAATTGGCCTCTGCCTCCAACCTTTACCAATGCCAGTTCAGGTCTACAAGCAGCGACTACATCATGTCTTTCATTTGCCTGGAAACTTTCAAAACAAGATGCAAACTTACTGTCCAGCAGGAAGAGACACCAGGATCTCCTGAACACTTATCTCCCTCACCATCCCACCCAATGCACACTTACCTGTTTCTCCACCTCTCACACCTCTCCCCACGCACCTTCGCCTCAACCATTGTTTATGCCTAGAATTCCTTTTATGCTTTCACCCACCCCATCTCTCTTCCTGTTAAAATCCTATGATCATTTCAGCAATGTCTCAAAGTCCAGTCCCCTGAAAACTGCATGTTATCCTATTCAGTAGCTGTCACAGGGCTTTGCCCATGCCAGGAGCCCAAAGACCACTTTATCAAGTCTACCAAACAGCTCTAGTGGCACATAGGTTAGCTTGAGAATATGGTCTAGGGCAGGGGTGGGCAAACTTTTTGACTCGAGGGCCACAATGGGTTCTTAAACTGGACCGGAGGGCTGGAACAAAAGCATGGATGGGGTGTTTGTGTGAACAAATATAAATTCAAAGTAAACATCATTACATAAAAGGGTACGGTCTTTTTTTTTTATTTAGTTTTATTCATTTCAAACGGGCCAGATCCGGCCCACGGGCCGTAGTTTGCCCAAGGCTGGTAGTGTTTAAAATATTTGTTGAGTTTAAATGAATGAAAGAAACCCCAGGTAAACATTCCTGTAGTAAGTCGTTACTTTAGCTTTCCATCTGAACCTAATTCACGTTTGATGAAGTATTCTTTTTTTTTAATATATTTTATTGATTTTTTACAGAGAGGAAGGGAGAGAGATAGAGAGTTAGAAACATCGATGAGAGAGAAACATCGACCAGCCGCCTCCTGCACACTCCCACTGGGGATGTGCCCGCAACCCAGGTACATGCCCTTGATCGGAATCGAACCTGGGACCCTTCAGTCTGCAGGCCGACGCTCTATCCACTGAGCCAAACCGGTTTCGGCTGATGAAGTATTCTGATAGCAAACTTTCTAAAAGATATTTCTTAAATCTTTCACATGGACCTTGTTTCTGCAGAAAACCCTTTTTTCTAGTTCCTGCCAAGACATTTACAGGAGAAAAAGCAACCTGAGTATTGAAAATGCAGCAGGTGGGGGCCAATGCCCTCCAGGCGTTGCTTTACGGAAACCTGAAATAAAACCACATCAATATTTTGAATTGGCAATAGAATTAAATGGAAAGTTTGTGATGGCATAAAGTGTTTTGATCTGAAGGATTATATAAGCCATTTTGATTCTCAGAAGAGCCGCGAGACATCTGTTCAATTTTAAATCCGAATGTAAATGTAAATAAGCACTTAAATTTCCATGTTAAAAGGTAGTAGAACGTGTGTTTATTGAGACACTTGTCTGGCACCATAGACTTTAATTACTTAAGAGCATTGGTCCGTACCTAACAGTTCTCTAAGTACCCGGAAAGGTGTATTATACATTTCCTTGAAACATCAATGAACACATATTTTCCTCTCATTTCAGTAGGTTTCTAGTGAAATACAAATCACCTTGAGATTTGGATTATGCCAATTTCTGGGTACTTTTTTTAAACACTGTAGTGTGTTTTATTTGTTCTTAAAAGATTTTTTATTGATTTTTCAAGAGAGAGAAAGGGAGAGGGAAAGGGAGAGAAACATCAATGTGAGAGAGAAACATTGAATGGCAGCCTCCTGCCTGCCCCCTCCTGGGCATCAAGCGCGCAACTGGGGCATGTGCCTGACTGGGAATCCAACCGACAGTCTTTTGGTGTACAGGACGACGCCCAACCGAGTGACACTAGCTAGGTATACATGTATATTTTATTAAATTACGTATGCAGCCTATTTGATTTGGTGATTAAGGCCACTTAGAAAGCTAAGTCATTGTATTTTTAATTGGGGATCTTCTCATCAGATAGATTCGAGACAAGCTTCCATTGATGGAGTAGGGAGTGAAGCCAATGTGTGTAAGTCAGGTGCCTAAGACCTCTAAAGAGGAGAGATGGGATTCAGGAATGGCAGGGAGGCAGAAGGATCTACGATGTCAGGCTGCACAAAGTGGGGCTTGCTCGGGTGACCATGCCGTTTATCACTACAAACAGGATGCTTTTGAACGTGAACGGGGACACTAACCAGAAGGGGTGCTGGGATAACAGGAATAAAGCAGAACTGTCCTGGCAAACCAGGGCATCTAGTCACCCGGGTTTGGGCTGGGCGTGGTCCCAAGAGCTGAAGTGTTTGCACGTGTGTACCCGTCTGCAGGGGGCTGCGGCATGCAGAGGGCGGCTGGCCCTGGAGGGGTGCCCTTGAGCACCCCTGGCTCCTTCCGGGTGTTCCCTTACTCATCCCCAGACAAGACATGCTCTTTCCTGCTAGAATCAATGTTCATTCTGTTCTCCCAGCCTGGGATACTCTTCTCATCGGGCCACCTGTCATCATATTCTCCTAGGATTGTCTCAGAATGTGTTCAGTGGGTCTGGCCCTAGGAACCTGCCTTTTCCATCAGCCCCTATTCCCACCCCCTGTCCAAGAGCTTTTGCTCTAGGTTGTAAATGTTGATGGTACGCCTATGTCTTTGAACCCTCTCCATTTAATTCAAAGCCAGGCATGTGTGTGTGTGTGTGTGTGTGTGTGTGTGTGAGAGAGAGAGAGAGAGAGAGAGAGAGAGAGAAAGAGAGAGAGGTTACTTAGTCCCTGTTGGATGAACTGAAAGGAACTTTTGTCCTATATTGATGTAGACGATCTTCCTTTTTCTGGTTTCCTATTCTGTACCATCTCTTTTGTCTTTGGGACATGCCTTAATGTATTCTCTTGAGAGACAATGCTTAGGTCACAGTGAATTGATGACCATCCAGGGAAGGGTTGCAGCAGAGCTTCCAGCCTGTGAGTTAACAGCTATTTATGAAATACAGGGCATTGTGCTAGACCTTCTTGTTCCTGTCCTGAAGACACTTAAAAACGAGCTCTTGAAACACAGAATATGTGTATCAAAGATATGGACTCTAGCCTGGCCGGCGTGGCTCAGTGGTTGAGCACCAATCTATGAATTAGGAGGTCAGGGTTTGATTCCTGGTCAGGGCATAGGCCTGGGTTGCGGGTTCAATCCCCATTGTGGGGTGTGTAGGAGGCAGCCAATCAGTGATTCTCTCTCATCATTGATGTTTCTCTCTCGTGCTTCCTCTCTGAAATCAATAAAAATATAATTTTTAAAAAATGGGGCTCTAGAGACAGGCTGCTTAGGTTCAAATTCCAGCTCTGCCACTAACTTGGACAAGACACTTGACCTTTCTATCTCTTAGCTCCTCATCTATAGACAAAGGTAACAATAGTCTCTACTTCATAACGTGTTATGAGGATTAAGTTAAAGTATGTAAAATAGAGTAGTGATGGCACATAGTAAGAGCTGTCAAAGTACAAATAAGAACTATTACTACC